GAACTGCAGTTTTGCTTGGGCAACAATAGAAAGTGTGCTGCTGTAATTCTGCCTCAAGAGAACCAGTAGTAGGAGCAGGTCCCTGAGGCCTCCTGGGCTGCTCCCAGCCAATGACAGAGCTCAAGGTGGAGCTGGGCCATTTGAGTTGATAACAAGACCCAGTAACAGGCAGCATGCTATTAGGGAGTCTCCTGACTCTCTCTCATTGGCCATCTTCATGGCTTCGGACAGCTCCCTGTCTCTAAGTCTCACTGGCCTTGTCAGTAATTGAGACCCACTAGGAGTGGCTTGGGAGTATTTTTAGATGAAAGACTGCACAATTGAGAAGCAGAGCATGCCATCATTGATACATGTGACTCACATATAACATGATGCTCTTGGTTCTCCCTTTTCTCTTCTTGCACAAATATCATTGTGGGAAGACAAGGACAACCCCGTGGAGGTGTATCTCTTGGGCACTAGCATCCAGCCTAATCACCTGGAAATTAAGGGCAGGATCAACATCTCTAACTTTGAGAGAGTGCCAGACGAGGAGTGGCAGAGCACCAGTGCGCCCAGGACACAGGTGAGCCATCCTTCCCCAGCCCATCCCAGAGGAAGATGAGGACCACCAGACCTGGAGGCCCATGGCCACCCTCTCCAGCCATCACCATCCATTCCCAGTCCTCAGCTGTAGGCAAGGGAGGGCGAGCATTGCCAGTCCATCCGGGTTCTTTCGGAAATCATGGGATAGATGGCTTTCTCATCTGGTCCTTATGTTCACGGAGCAGGAGGGCAATTGTGAAGGCAATGGCACCTACCTGGCAGCCCTGGTCAATGGCCAGAGTGTTGGCGTGGCCAAGGACATCAACATACACAGCCTGCGTGTGCTGAACTGCCAAGGGAAGGGCACGGTCAGCGGCATCCTCATGGGTGAGTGGCAGACCCCAGCAGCCACTTTGGCCAGATGCACTGACCTATGTTGGGTTCAATAATGAACATCACTGTTGATTTGGAGGGAAGGAGCTGGGGAGGGCAACGTGCCCCTCTCCAGGCAGTCATCTTGTTCTCAGTCATCTATGTTCTGTCAGGCTTGGAGTTTCTTTGGAAAAAGCTGGTCTCCAATCCCTCCAAGCGCATGGTAGTGCTGCTGCCCCTGGTGAGTGGGTACAGCCAGAGTATCAACAATGCCTGCAAGAGCCTGGCAAGGGCTGGAGCAGTGCTTGTGGCTGCTGCGGGCAACTTTCAGAGCAATGCCTGTGCCTACTCTCCAGCGTCGTCTCCTGAGGTAGGTTCCAGCAGGGCTTCCTGCTCACACGTCCTGCCTTGCAGGTTGTCAGAGGGCCAGCCTCCCCAAACCCCAGTGTGACAAGGGGTTTGGCTAGCCCTGCCTCACCTTCAAAACCCCTCCCACAATCCACCCAGCTCTTGCACATCCTCCCTCTGCACCATCCCTCTCCTCCTGATTGACATTTGCAGAGCCACTGCTTTGTGTGGGGCTTGTGTGGGCCTGGCAGTATCAGGGGGAGGACAGGTGTCCCATCTCCAGGTCTTCTGTGCCCTGGAAGGAAGGGAAGGTACAGAGGTAAATGGGCAGTGCCGACCTCCCCTTTCCCTCTCCCTCCTTGCCCTGCACAAACCCTCAGACTATAGCTCCAGGGATTTTTCCAGAGATGCTGAACTTACAACTGCCTGCATCCAGCCTGGCTCACTGTGGGTTGCCTCACAGCACTCTGCCTTCTTGATAACAACATTGTCAATGTAGTGTTTTTCTCCCATTAAGAACAATCTCTACAGGGCATCAAGAGTAGTGACTGAATCCTGTAGAAGCCCTGGGGCAGGCTAGGGTATCAGCTGTGCCCAGGAGCCAGATTTTCCTCTGGAGAAGACACTTACATGGGAGTCAAACAGGAAGTATAGGAGTTGATTAGTTTGCATCATGCAGCCTTTCCCTCAACTCTTTGCCACGTTCCAGGTCATCACTGTTGGAGCTGTCGATTCTCAGATCCAGCCACTCATCCAGGGTACTCTCGGGACCAACTATGGATCCTGTGTGGACATCTTTGCTCCTGGGAAGAACATTGTCAGTGCCTCCAAAGACTGTAATGTTTGCTATGTAACGCAGAGTGGAACTTCGCAGGCGGCTGCCCATGTGGCTGGTGAGTCACCATGCCACTGCCTGGACCACCAGGATTCCAGCGGCCCCTTTGGCCAGATCGTCCATAAGCTTGGCTATGAGCAAGAGGACCCAATGTGCAGACCTGATGGTGATGCTGCCATTTTGCATCACTGGAATTGGGGTATAAGTTGTTGTTCACCTGGTAAACACAATGGCTAATACCAAGGCCTAGAGGTAGGGGAACAAGATGTGTTACTTTCTATCCTTCATTAAGCAAGGGATTGCAGGTGGCTTCGTTTGGGAAGAGCACATGATGTGTGTATATGTGTGCATTTGTGTCCTAAAAGGAGTTCCCAGCTAGGATGGAAGGCCAGGCTATCACCTTGTCTGACCTCTCCCTCCTCCATCAGGCATTGCAGCCCTGATGCTCACTGCCCAGCCAAACCTCACTGTGGCTGAGCTGAGGCAGAGGCTGATCCACTACTCTATCAGAAATGCTATCAATGACTCCTGGTTTCCGGAGGAGGAGCGATTCAAGACCCCCAATCTGTTGGCTGCACTGCCCCCCCGCACCCAGGAAACAGGTGAGCAGGGCAGGTGGGTAGGCAGAGGCCAGCCTGGGTGTGAGAGGCCCGTGTGGAAGTGACAATCCCCTACCTGGTCTACAGAAGGACTGTCCTCCTCAGATAGGACTCCAGGCTCAGGGTAATGATTTCAACACTGAAATTTTTTTTTTTTTTTTTGGGTCCGGTCATGGGGCCTGAACTCTGGGCTTGAGCACTGTGTCTAAGCTCTTCAGCTCAAAGCTAGTGCTCTACCACTTGAGCCACAGCGCCACTTCCGGCTTTTTTTCTTTTTGCTTATGTGGTGCTGAGGAATCGAACCCAGGGCCTTGAGCATGCAAGGCAAGTGCTCTACCACTGAGCCACCTTCCCAGCCCTCAACACTGAAGTTTTAACTAAAAGTTTCATGTGATATGGAAACTCCTCTCCCTTATGTAAGACTGAAACTTTCTCTGGATTCTCTGAGTGTACTGTGCCCCCAGAGCCTCATTACTCATGACCTTGTTGCAGGTGAACAGCTGTTCTGCAGGACTGTGTGGTCAGCACCCTGGAACATCACACTGGCAGACACTGCAGTGGCTGAGTGTGACCCGGAGGAGGAGCTGCTGGGCTGCTCCAGTTTCTCCGAGAGTGGGAATCGGCAGGGCGAGCGTGTGGGGGTGAGCTGCACACTCTGTGTGCCCAGTCCTCTGTCCTCTGGATTCCAATCCCTGTCTCGACTTCAGAGGCCTGGGCAGGGCCAGGTGCTCCTGGGGGACTCTGGACAGACAGCACCCTCATGGGCACAGGAGGGAAAGGACAGCGGTGGCTTCGGCTCTCTGCCTTGCCTAAAGCCATCTCTATGCTGGGTGTTTTTGTCTCATGCCTGTTGTTCTAATGACTCAGGAGGCTTAGTTCTGAGGATCATGGTTTCCAGCCCAGGAAATTTCATGTAGTTCTTATCTCCAACTATGTGTGAAGGGGAGTAGCAGCTCTGCTGGTAGAGTGCCAGGCTTGAGTTCTAAAGTTGAGGGACAGCACCTACTCCCTGAGTTCAAGTCCCAGTACTGACACACCCCTTCCTTCTCCCTGCCAACCAAGAGAATCCACAGTCATGACCCTCAGGTTGGGATGACAGAGGCTCTGTGAGTTGAGAATTTCAAAGGTACAGAAGCAGCTCATGAGGTTCCCATACGCTGGGTGGGCCTGTGAGGGGAGGAGGGCTTACAGGATATGGTAGGTGAGCATTTCTGTGCAGAAATCAATGTTAGGGAGGATTCTTAGGAGAGGCCCGATGGGTCAGGGGGCCCGTAGGCCCTGTGCTGCTGTATCAGGTACCCTTATTACAAGGCATTGTCAGTGTTGGGAAGATTCATCTGAGCTGCACATGGCAGGACAGTCTGCCTGGAACCAAGCAGTGCTGAGGACTCAGGAGCCAGAACTTGCAGACGGGGTCCCTCTCAGACCAGGTTCCCCAGTCCCTAAACCTGTTCACAGCAAGTTCCCATTTCTCTCTTGGACTCTCAGATCCTAGGAAAGAGACGCGTTTGCCTGGCATTTGGAGACCGCCAGGTTTCTGCGGTGGCCAGATGCTGCCTGCTCCGCCGAGCCAACTGCAGAGTCTACACAGCTCCTCCAGCCTTGGTGGGGCTGAATACCTACACCCACTGCCTGGATCCTGACCAAGTCCTCACAGGTAGGGGTCCTGCCAGGGTGAGGAAGATGACCTACCTCCTGCTGCTCAGGAGGTATGTCCCAAGCACTTGGTCCCTATCAGTGTGAGCAGATGATATGTGAGACTCAGGACCCATAGCCAAACAGGATCTGAAACTTGCATGCTATGTGGCCTGGGGCAAGTGGCTTCACCTCTCTCTTCCAGCCCTGCCTCTGTAGTGGTGATAAAAAGGGTGACAATGGCCTCCGGCTTGGGCACTGGGAGCTGTTTACCCTCTGTGTGGGTAGGCTGCCCTAGTTCAGGCCTGTCAGAGTGGGGCACAGCTCAGGTTGATCCAATCAGTAGCTAGCAAGTTCCTTCTCAGCCCTGTGCCTTAGTTTTCCTCATTGTGAATGCTCAGCTCTAATCCTGGGACAGTTACATTCTTGTGGCCACTGTCATCGTCCATCACTCTGAAGTCCTTTCTATGGGCTAGGGACTTTCTTTTTTGGGAGGGGGTCCAGTTTTCGGGCCTGAACTCTGGGCCTGGATGTTGTCCCTCAGCTCTTCGGCTCAATGCTAACACTCTACTACTTGAGCCACAGCACCATTTTCAGCTTTTTTCCCCTGATTATGTGGTTCTGAGGAATCGAACCCAGAACCTCAGGCATGCAAGGCAAGCGCTCTACCAATTTGCCACCTCTCCAGCCCTGGGCTAGGGACTTTCTATTACAAAGCTGCCCAAAAGTGTCTGGAAGTCATGGGTGAGGGCTGCACATAGGAGGTAGGGACTGTTTTTCTTGGTCTGGAGCCATTATTAGAAGGAGCTTGGTGTCAGCGGGGAGGTTTAGGGGACAGTGGGAATTATCTTGAATTACTAGGTCAGGAGCTGACCTTGGTTAGGTAAGTACTGGGGAGTCTGAAGTTCTGGAATAGTAAGGGTTAGGTGGGGTTAGAAGTTGGCTGGATTAGCAGCAGTCAGATGAGCCCAGTGGCTTGGAGCCTTGTCTGGGACAAGAGCTCCATGGGGCTGCTGGCCTGGCAGGAAGCCTGGCCTTTGGCAAAGCTGGCAGAGCTACAGGCAGTCACTGTGTATCTCATGCCAAATCCCACATGCAGGTAAAGTTGCTGAGTGTCTTTCCTAAAGCCACAGAGCTGGGAGAAGGGCTGTGGTTCTCATTACCAGATCCTGGGTCCTGCATGGGCAGCACTGGGACTTCCCATGCATGTTTCTGCTTTAGCTAAGTGAGTTGCTGCTACTGCTCTAGCTGTTTTACAAATAGGGAAACTGAGACTTGATGAAGTTCAGCAAAGTGCCCACAATTTTACAGCCAGGTGCACCTGATTCCCTAGCCCACAGACCCAGGCTAATGCTGGACTGCTCTTGGTGATGATGCATGAGGAAAGGACTTGAGGAGGGAGGGGTTTGGGTAAGCAGTGGTTGATCATCGCAGGCCTGGGAACCATGCCCCATGGCTCCACTTCTTTGGTGGAGAGGAGATCATGGAAACTATGGCTCAGAGAGGTTGAGCTTCTCTCCCAAAATTCTACAAGTCAGATCACCAGCAGAGCTATGCTGGAAGTCCTCCTGCTCAGCCCAATGACTCTTCCACTCAGAGCTGCTCCTGGGTTTCCTTGGCTTTCAACCTTATAGAGAAAGGGGTGTGGAAAGAGAACTACGATAGTCTTCCACATTCAGTGTGTGAGCTGTCCCTCCTCTGCCCCAGGATGCAGCTCCCATTGGGGGATAGGTAACCCTGGTGTCTCCAAGCATTCTTCAAGGCAGCAAGTTTATCAGCCCAGAAAGTGTCTGGGGCACAAGAAGGCCAGTGTCCATGCTTTCTGCTGCCATGCTCCGGGCCTGCAGTGTACAACGAAGAAGTACAGGCGTTTCAGTCCCTTGGAGAAGGTGAAGAGTTGGGGTTGTGGGAGGTGGGGGGTGGAGATTGCTGGGGCCTGCATTGCCCAGGGGAGGACCTGAGCACCTGTGCTGTCATGTGCAGTGTGTGTGTGTGTGTGTGTGTGTGTGTGTGTGTGCATGTGCTTGCACATGTGTTTGTATGAGTGTCAGTGTGAGTGTGATGGGCTTGCTTTTGTTTCTGGCCAGATTAGTAAGGTTTGCTCTCCAATGCCCTGTCCCCCTTTTAGGATAGCACAAATAAATATGGCATAAAGAAATGAATTGCTGAGACTGGACACAGTAATATAATGCTGTGCCTGTTTCACCTGCTCCTGAGAAGGAACAAATAAGAGTTCAGTTTGAGGCCCACCTGGGCAAAAAATCAATAAAAATAAAAAAAGAGATTCTATCTGAAAATTATCTAAAGCAAAAACAGCCAAAGTGGTGACTAAAGTGGTAGAGATACTGCTTGGCACTTATGAGTTCAAACCCTAGTACTGCTTTATTTTTAAAGCACCTGTATTCATAACGATACTGGAGACTGAGATCTGAGGACTGGGGTTCAAAGCCAACCTTGGCAAGAGAGATTATGAAACTCATGCCCTTAATTAACTGCCCCCAAAAAAGCCAGAACTGGAACTGGGTTCAGCTCTGGAGTTTAAATGCCAGGATTTGTGTGGGCACACAACAACAACAAAAACAACAAAAAACCAAAAAACAAAAGAAACACAAAAAAACCAAAGCATCACTTCTGCATTTCACAAACCTACTGGGAGATGTTCAGGGCTGGAATGCCTGAGCAACCATGGAAGGTTGGAGGAAGAAGGCAGATCTCTGAAGGGAGGGCAGGTCACACTTGGCCTCTTGGAGTCTGAGAGCTAGCCTCTAGAGGCCATGGCAGGAGGAGTTTGGGACGTGAGGCTGGTGGCTCTGGTCTGGGATGAGCTGCAACAAGGAGTGGAGGGCTGTTGCAAGGTCTTGTGGAGCTGCTGGGGGGATGGAGTTGCCATCACTGG